GGCAGTAGTAATTGACTTAGAATGCCTGAAACTCTCACAGCCTGGGCAGTTATGTAAGCTCTCATGAATGTAGATGTCACAATCAAAGCAGAATTGTTGTTTGCATTTTGGACAATAGACAGAAAGTTCAGGCTTGTTTCCTGTTATACACAATACTATTAGCAAAATTGGCAAGAACATATTCTATACGCAATACTATTTCTAATACAACAAAAACATAAGGAATTGTATATCATCAACTATACAGCTGAAGATTCTCAGCAATGGCCTTATGTAGAAAAAAACACTAATGACATAAAGCATATACATTGTTTTCTTAACAAAAAGACTCGACTGCCATATACTCACGGTACTCAATTATTAGCAAAGTGTGATTAACATGCTTAATGCATACACATTGTTATTAGAATGTATCGCTGATCACATGTTAATTTAAGAAGCTGTGGTTAATTTTTCTTCCAAATTTGCAACTTTACCAACCGTGGCTTTGAAAGCCATAGATGCATCATCATACTGACAAGAAAGCTGAGGCTTTTATGTCTCGCATAAATTATTCCCTATCACATGCACGTGATATCATGGTTGATAGAATTCAATGTCCTTGTAAGATACTAGAATTTTTTTATAGCAAGGAATTAGCATTAAGACCACTATATCATGAGCATATGGAAGACCAAACAGTTGGACTTTTGGATTGCCATTCAAAAAAAATTGAGCAACAGACTCTTTCACAGATGACTCATGATATGCTACCCAAGGTGATTATTAACAGGGAATAAGAGAGTTTATCAAAAGACTGTATATGCGCCTTTGTAAATTGAAAGACAGTCCATCTCTCAATTGGAATGTTGCTAATCTCTTTCAGTGGCCAGGCAGTGTTATCGAATATCAGCAATGTTGGCGCTATGGCGGATACCAATGACGGTTTTTGGGCTTGACGCAATGTAATATTGGCTGATATTACAGGTTTTTCCGCCATGATCCGCTATGACGGCGGAGCAAAGCAGCCAGTACGGCGGGATTTTGGCTCTCCACAATGGACCGCCATCCACCATCGACAACAGTGAGGCCAGGTCATGATAGCACAAAATCTAATAAGAAACCAAGATGTACAAAAAGACAAATGAAACTACTCCCACTAACAACTTACTAATTTCAATATAATATTTAAAAAAATTCCAGGGAATAACTTAAAAAATTATAGCCCCATTTGTTATCTTCAAACTATTCACCCTTAAAGAAGTTTGATATGAGTCTATATTTGACATAGCATATTAGGCAACACCATAAAATTTTATATAGCAAAAGTTGTAAATATATGAACTTATGAAGATACTCAAACAACAACTGGTCTGCAGATGCTTACCCTGACTAAGGAGACTTTCTTCACAACCAAAACAAGTGTTGGGAAACCTGTGGCTTGGATCATTTTGAAATGATGCAGAGATCTCCACAAACGGCACTATAGGGAAGAGATGGTGATATGACCTTGCCAAATGAGGTGAAGAAATAAGGGTCAATCCACAGATGCGGCATTCGGTAGGAAGCTCACAAACACGCACTTTGCATCTTGGACAAGTGTATCCCCCTTCTGTCTTAGCCTCTTCATGACATGTACAAATTGCAACAGAGCCCTCAGCCGCTCTTTGTGGGAAACCCATCTTAATCAAATTAGCAGTAGCATATTCTGCTATTGCTGGAGGTGGTGGACAATGCTCTAGAATTAACTCTTTAAAGTGGGACTGCATGAGATGTGTACATGGATAAGAGAATGCACAAACATTTGAAAAATGCAAACACGTTCTAAGGTGATCTGCAATATTCTTAGCACTTAATCAGAAAATGGTTGGATTATAAAAACTCAAATAATTTTCAAAGAGGAGCATTAATTTGTATTTGTACAGCAGCTACATGGTTCAATCAAAACCAACAAACTAACCTCATCCAGTGCAATGGAGTACGTTCCTCCAGTTTCTTGGCAAAGATGCTTGCATATAAACATTTCAGCAGCAAGACCAATGACAGAGCACCTCATTTTTCCCTTTTTGCATTTCTGGATAGTTTCCATGATATCACTGGGATCACAGGTGCTGAGGGCCGAATATAAAATCAGAACTTCTCGATGGCCATATGATGGGATTTGATTTAGATTGCTATGCACAAGATCTAGTGCATTTTGTAGGGAGGCATCACCTGAGCATTCTAGTTTACCCATTAAAGCTTTGATGTGGGACTCAGGACTGCCACCAAGATCTGTCAAGCAGCTAGCAACCCCATCTTTGGTAGTCACCAAACCAACATGACTAAGTGGATTCTGATCAAAGAACTCCCTGATAAAAGTCTCAACCTGCTTTGCAATCACAGCCATTCTACTAGGTCGAAAGTCCCTCTCTGAAGCTGCCTTCACATGATGTAAGATACAGTTATATTACATGGCAAGAAATTGAAAAAACATACATGTATAAGATTAATATAATATATTAATATTAATATTGCATAAGATACTTCTAAACTTTAACAGTATAATCATAAAAAAAAATTATAATATAATTTCAGCATAAGAACTGCTTCGCTCGATACATCAGTGTGCCTATGATGTGCCTGCGAGTATAGTTTTGAATTTCAGCTGTTAAGTGCTAGCTTATTGAACAAGTATAGATGTACTTATAAAGAAAAAATATTTTAAAAAATTCAAAAAGCATATGTAAAATAAATTTCAGATAAGATATTGGAAGAAAACCTAGTAAATTTAACTGTGTCACTAATTCGTGAATTATACCAACATACCCCTCCTCCAATTGTACCCCAATTTTCAAGTAATCAAAGCAATCGTCCATGAGAAACTTAAAGACAAACACAGAAACTGTGAAGTAATAAAAACAATACCTTGGACAGGTCGACAACAATGTATAAGTATCGTATCAAACCCTTTTGAATCCGTGCAGTAGCTGCATTTGCAGCAAGGGCGCGAAGGCGCCTACGATACTGAGCATGTTGAACGGCTGAAGTATCAATAGAACGAAGAAGTCCAGATTCATCCTCCTGCAAAGACTCCCATGATCTATCTTCTGTATAAGCTCTCTCCCATGCTTCAAGTCCATCCTCATTAACTTCATCTTCCTCATCATCTTCATTAAGTGGTCTCCCAGCAATGCTGTTATTCATGATTTCTAGCCCAAACAATGCAGCAGTTAATCAACCCAGTAAAGAAGCTGCAACAGTAAATAAATTTCTCATTTTAGTGTTTCATCCGATACAGATATTTTCAAAACAATAAATGTTATATAGTGAAACATCAGCATTTAAAAAAGAACCATCATGCCATTATACACAAACAAAAAGAGATGGAAAAGATAAATATTTAAAAGTGTAAGATCATGAAAGCAAAAACTGCAATGATTTAAACAAAATGGATGATTAAGAAAGTAAATTTAACTGTGTCACTAATTCCATAATGCCATAATGCCATAATGCTTTGTTTTCGACTTTGCCTTCATCTTTGGTTTCAACAATCTGTAAACATTACTCTGTTTCAACCTTGATGATGGGAATGGTGCAAGAGGTGATGATAATGGTGGTGGTGGTAGGGGTGGTGATGATGATGAGATTAATTAAGATGACAATATTGACATTATGGGAGATGATCCAAGTAGATCGCGCATTAGTGATCTAATTTAGCATCTAGACTTTAAGTATTTTGTTTTATATTTAAGATTTGACACTTGGTTGTTTTATGTTTGTTTTATGATTTTAAACTTTTGAGTACTATTATGAGTTGAATCCATCGATTTTGGTTGCGATTTTCGATTATGCGATCTTGATTTCCCCTTTCGATTCAACAAAACGATTTGAGTAGAATCCACCGATTTTGGTTGCGATTTACGATTTTTCGATCTTACTATCCTCTTTCGATTCAAAGTAAACTCTCGATTCTAACAACCTTGCATACAACCGATCTTACTTAGTAGGGTAAGGCTTGGCTGTTGTTGTGTTAATGATTGTTGGATGAAACAACAATATATGACAAATTAATCATAAAACTTATTATATATATGGACCGTCATAAATATTGTAGTTGAGGCCACATGTTAGACGTTACAACCTTTGACTAAGAATTTGGCTCTCCATAATGTCTCAGTATGACTTTGAACCTAATAGACAACCACGGTAAAGTCTACTTTCCAGCACAAAAATTCCTTACATTCGAAATATAAGCAAGCAACAAGCAGAGGGTACAAGCAACAAGCAGAGGGTACAAACAACAAGCAGTGGAGCAACCAACTAATAATTACTCCCTCCGTTTCACAATGACTATCGTTTTAAGAAAAAATATTTGTTTCAATATGAATGTCATTCTCACTTTACAATATAAAAATGATTGTTATTTTTCCAATTGTGACCTTTAATTATTATTCTGTACACTACTTCCAACACGTTTAAGGTTAATTTAATAAAAGTGCAATGTCTTATGACAATATTATTGTACTCTTTGATCTGTGTACAAAAAACTTAAACAACAGTCGTTCATTTTAAAACTGGGGGGGTAAAATGAATAAACTATATGGCATAAATACTAACATATAATGAAAACTACTATATTTTCTGATTAATATACCTCCAAATAAATCAAGATCCACAATCTTAATCACCTCCTAAATCCAAGTTGCTTACTCAATTTAAAAAACATAGTATACAAATAGTAGCTTCATTTCAAAGTCCTATTTTATCTAAAATTACTAAATAAATTAACTAACAGTAAATTGCTTTCATAATGGAATCTAGAGGCACAAAAGAATTATTCAATACTTGAAAATTAAATTTGTTATTTAAAATTCAGTAAAAGAGTTCAAGTTGGACTTAGAATGAAATAGAAATTGTGGTTTTAAGAAAAAATAGGAAAATGAAATCCGATATGGATAGGCAAAATGAACAGTCCAGTGTGAAACAGAATGTGTTAATTACACATACACCCTTCCAATCAGATATTCTAATAATCAATTTCAAGGTTCACCAAAATTTCTAAAACTAGGGTTTATGACAAAGAGAGAAGGAACTCGAATTTGATGTAGAACAACAAAATTGATAACCTCATAAGCCACTAACACAACTATACAGTAGCTAAACTGCATATCAAGTTCATAGATTGAAAGAAAAACATTAGGATCTAAATGTAAACTATGAACTCCGTCGCTTACTCGATCTTTTCTGTCCCCGGTCAGTTCTCTTCATTATCTCTCTTCTCGCTAGTCTTGACATTTAGATCCTAATGTTTTTCTTTCAATCTATGAACTTGATATGCAGTTTAGCTACTGTATAGTTGTGTTAGTGGCTTATGAGGTTATCAATTTTGTTGTTCTACATCAAATTCGAGTTCCTTCTCTCTTTGTCATAAACCCTAGTTTTAGAAATTTTGGTGATACTTGAAATTGATTATTAGAATATCTGATTGGAAGGGTGTATGTGTAATTAACACATTCTGTTTCACACTGGACTGTTCATTTTGCCTATCCATATCGGATTTCATTTTCCTATTTTTTCTCCATTTTTCCTTCAAATCAACCTGATAAACTAAATTTGATTGACATTAAAATCAAAAAAAGAAAAGACTAATACCTTTTAATTATACTTACTTCAGTTTTCTATTCAAATGTATAAGCTATTAAGATCATTGTTTTGTGAATATTTATTTAGAAAATGGATACTCTAACTAAGAAACATGCATATTTTTCAAGAAAGTTCAACTTGACTATAAGAAAAAACAAGTGCCTCATGCACATAGATAGGGCAAAAGTACAAGGATCTGTTGCAATATGTCTATTTTGTTTTCTATATTAAACAAATATTGACGAAACATTTTTCATATTACATTTAGTATCTTAAAACTTTTAGGGTATGTTTGGGAGTTGGATTTTGAAGGGTTTGGGAGGGGAGGGCTAAGTCTATCTTTTAAAATATATTTGATATTTAAAAAAAATGAAAGAACAAAATGATAAATAATCATATAATACTTCAATCACACTAAATTCATTTGAAACAATATTGTAGTGTCTTTAATTTAAAAGAGTATAGTGCCTTTTAACACTTTTAGGATTCCTTAAAACTAACTACCTAACTTATTGGATATTTTATTTATCCTAGTTCAAAATCTAAGGCTTCACGTTTTCAGTTGGAAAGTTGTCTTAATTGTGTCACCCTTGTTTACCTTAACTGCATCTGGTAACTATGAGTTACTTTTGTTGCAGCCTCCAACACCTTCATTCTGTTGGATGTCAGAAGATGTGTATGATACCATATCGCATACAAATAAGCAGTGCTTTGACTTGAAAGTTCTCACTTCTCATCTTACAAGCTAATTTTAATAGCTATTGCCTTTTACTATGTGATAACAAACAACAAATGCGGATAACAGCAGTGATGCTGAATGAAATTGCCATTTCTTTCAAAAAAATGAAATCAAGGGGATTGTGCAATATTCAAAATTGTAAAAAAATCACTTTTGTCATTCACTAAAATATACATGAACACAACTAAGCTCACACAAAAAATTAATTATACAGTATGAAAGTGCACAACAAATCACGGAGAGATTCATATACCTGAAACTTCAAGGTTTCTTGATTGATGACATTGTAAAGAAGATGTCTATAGGCCTTGGGTTTGTGAAGTATTAAATCTATTATAATAATCTACAAAACATAACGGGAAAATGATAATACTTTTCAAAAGATTTCATCTTTGAAGTAAGCCAGTGACATGAACAAAGAGCTACGCACCGTGATTTCACATTCTATGTATTCATCTGCCACAGCCTTGCAATTCTCCTATCATTACAAAAATGTCTAAAAATCAATTCACAATTTAAAAATTAATTCAAGACAAAATGAAAAGAATAATACAATTGATAATACTTACACATTTCATCAAACGAATGTTACCCGGAGAATACTAAAGATAAAGTGTTTTGATTGGAAAACCACATTGAATACATCTATAACCCATTGGTGATGATAAAGTTAAATCCAAAATCACAGCTTCAATTCAAAAATCTGGAATTGGGTACTGCAAACAAGAGAAAAAGCAACATCAATTGCTGATTCTGAATAATAAATCCCAACAAGAAAATTCATAATTAAACAATTAAACATACAACTATAACATGATATTGGAATTGAATCAAATTTTCTCAACAAATCAACAGAGGAATAAGGGTTATCAAGTTTCTAAAAACTAGGGTTTATGACAAAAGGGGGAATTCGAGAAGAGAACTGAGCGGGGACAGAAGAGATTGAGAAAGCGACGGAGAACTTCTTTCTCGTCAGTGTTGAGTCACACCACAGCCATTAAGCCATCACCGCCGTTGAATCTACCAGCTACAGAGTATATAAAACTTAGGGATTTGATTGATTAAAATATGAGTTTATAAAATTTTCTTGAACTGAGAAAAAAACAACTTATATTTTGTAAGTCTTTGATTGTCAGAGTAAATTATGATCCAAATGAAAAATGAGAAAATGTTTGTCAAGTCTTTGTTATGTCTAACATTAGAGTTAGATAATTTATTTTGTGAGTGGGAGAATTTCTTGTTAAACAATTCAAGATTTGGATTTTTTTTTGGCTTACTTACATTTTTCTTTTGGTAAATAATGGAAATTAAGAAGAAAAAATTAGAAATATATTAATTATTTTATTCACTTGTGATTTTAATAGTTTGATCAAATATGACATCTTGAAAGCTAATGGTTGGATTGGAATTTAACAACTAGTTTGTTTATATTACGCGTTTAACACCCTAATTTAATTTTGCATAATTATAAATTAAATTAGAGTAATTTAAATTACTAAATAATAATTAGGATGTTACATCCTTCAAAAACATGCACAATTGTCTGAAATATATAAATGATACATAACATCATCATAGATGAATCGAAACAACACAACATAATATTCAATTTTAAATTTTATTAAGCAGCGGAAAATATTCATAATTTAGAATATAAATAAACTCATTAACGACATCAACCAAACGTTTCCTCAAATATCAAAGAGTTCTTAAGACTCAGACAATCAATTAAAAATTAACAAAATAAAAATTGCGTTCATCTCTCCTAGTGTTACGTATCAGAGCACGACGTCGACTCGAAATAAACGACGAGTAACTTCCTCTACTCCGGATCACCTGCATGTTATCCTTGTAGAAGTACATTTCAACATAAGGGGTGGGATATCATAACCATATAAAAGGAAAGCATAATAACAAGCAGATAACAATTTATTACGCATAATCACACATTCTTCATCTCACACCTTCACATCATATTACAACAATCATATGGCACGTCAATGTACAAACGTATAATCCAACAACACATGTCATCCCTGGTGATATAACACACACATCATCTGCACTTTTTAACAACATAATAATGATAATGTGATGCAATAAAACCGACTAAATGCATGTGATACCAACAGGGCATAAGCCCTCATCATTATGCCAAATAAATCAGCAATAGGGCATAAGCCCTCATCATAACACCGATACAGGCCATCAACAGGGTATAAACCCTCACCACGAATGCATGCAACACATACATGCAACAATATATTATGCATTGGTATTCCTATCCACCGATACAACACACCAATACAGGCCATCATCATCATACATATGACATCATCATCATCATACATACAACGTATTATGTAATTTGTTCGTACAATCATTTACATATCATCATCACCATACATACAACGTATTGTGTAATTTGTTCGTACAATCATTTACATATCATCATCACACACAACACAACGTCTATCATACGAAATACACCAAATAAGAATGAGTCCCCAACAAATAATCCCATATTGTGTTCATAATTATTATTACAAAATGGAAAATAATTTTAGCTTTTCGTCAGTCCAAACGGTGCGTCAAACAGACACCCGAGTCAAAAGTTACGAATTTTATAAATTTTTGAAAAATGTTGTCGGCTTCAGGAAATCGATTACCCCAATACTGGTAAGCGATTTCCATACTTTCAGGGGCTATTTTTTAAAATATTTTGTGCAGGAAATCGATTTTTACACTTCCAGTGGCCAAAATTTGAAAATTCACGTTCAGGAAATCAATTTCCTCATAATGGATAATCGATTTCCACAGCTTGACAGTGGAAAATTCTGCAACTTTTTCCAGTATGAAAACCAGTCCCCTCATCTCCAAAACTCCAATTTTCCAATCAAAATAGTGTCTCACGAAATCATAAAATATGAACATACATTACCCATTGTTGTACCCCAAAATTTACCCTTTTTTCATACACGCATATTATTGGTTTTATGGTTATGGAATAAAGATATATTTATCAAGCTTCTTCAGGTTACAAGTGACGTTTATTTCGCCAATGGATGTTCTCAGAGTATTTTTTGTGCTGAAGATTAGTTCGTCGTTTTATAATGATTCGGGGTTCAAAGATTCATAAGTCCAACCCGGCGCGTCATATTCAGGTGTTCTTTCGCCAAGATATCTTTGATAACGTATTATCAAATTCAGTTTCGGCTCAAGAGTCAATTTTTTAAAGAAGGTCTCCGAATGTGTGAGTTTTCTCGAAGAAATATGGTGAAAAAGTGTGTTGAAAGTGCAGTTTTTACGCACTAAAAAATTCATAACTTGAAGATCGTGGCTCGTTTTGAACCTGTTCTGGTGGCCAAAATTCCGTATTAACGTCATCTACGTTTTCATCTCTCACAGATGGAAGCCAATTTCAATCAGAAGGTCTTCAAAAATGTGGATTTATCAAGTATTTTCATACAGAAAATTTGTGACAGAAGTTTATTTGCGTCATATTCAGAAAATCATAACTTGATCGATTTTCATCGTATCGAGCTGGTTCTAGCGCCAAAATTTCAAAAATTGAGTTGACTATGTTTTCACAGGAGGTATCGAGCTCGAACGGTATTCAAAAGGCCTTTGTTTTTTTCTCAGAGTGTGCATGACGCACCGAAAATCTTGAATTCTAAATATTATTTTATCTGGGTCGAAACTTCGAAAATTCATAACTCGGTCAATTTTTATCAGACCGGGCACATCTTTTTACACAAGGTCACTGACTCAAAGATCTACAACTTTACTTCCAAAGTCGAGACCGGGTTATGCTCCGATCAATACTAGTTTTTTATTGAAGAACGTATCAGAGTCGACACTGGAGCCCAAAATAAGTTTGTCTGAGCTAAAACTTCAAAAATTCATAACTAATTCACTGTTTATCCTATTGAGACCATTTTCGGACAGGAGTTAGTTCTCGATGTTGGCTATATTTTGTATTGATATTTAACATAAAAAATTGCACTTAAGTCTCTGCGATTTGGCCTGGAATGTGACGGACTCAAGTGAACATTGGAGGCTCAATTGCACATTCAAAGCCCATATCTTTGCTCTAATTTCCATTATATAATCTCATTCTTTTGACACAAATAAAGGAGGACGGAGAAAAAAAACCTTTGCCACAATCCTGTCAGAATACCAAATTCTTTCAAGAACCCTAAAACCTTTAAATCCTTATTACAAATCTTCATCTCACTACAAACAAGTCATCCTTGTTACAAACTCACATCTCACTACTTCTCCAGTAAGGGTAAGGCTGGTTGGATCTCCATGATCAAAAGGGCATAGAAGCATTACTCTCACTACTTCTCCAGTAAGGGTAAGGCTGGTTTGATCTCCATGATCAAAAGGGCATAGAAGCATTCATACAGCCCATATCAGTTTTAACATTAAAAAATGTTTATATATTAATTTTCTTTGTATTTCATGATATAGTAACTTATTTAATGTGTTCATGAGATTCAACACTGCAGATTTAGACATGATCTCATGCATGATTATTACAAAACGTTGATGACCAAAACAGAAGCTGATGGCCAAAATAGAAGAACCACCAATGTATGGCGAGACAAACATCCTGAGAAGGTTAAGGGCGTGGGTTCAACAACCACCCCTATTGATTTTGGTTTTCTTCCTATATTTATCCTTTTACTTATTTTCATTCTTTCAGTTAAAATTTTTTTTTTTCATAAAATTTAACATTTTTCACAAACCTTTGATTTTTCATCTTAAACTCGAATAATTAATTTTAGGTCTTTTTTTAATTTAATTTTAGGTTTTAAATTAATTTTTGGTTCAACAACCACCCATGACATTTGCATCATCTTTATTTTCTAACTCTATTTTTTATTGATGTTTCTTCCCCTATCTATTTTTTGGCAGACTTAATTTTTTCTTATTAATCATTACACATAAATCTTTTTTTCAAAACTAACTTTTTTTAATTAAAATTAGTTAGATTTTAGGTTTTAGGTTTTTTTCTTATTAACCTTTTATTTTCAAAATTAACTTTTTTTAATTAAAACTAATTAGGATTTAGATATTTTAATTAACTTTTTTCAAAATTAACATTTTTTATTAAACAATTAGGTTTTAGGTTTTCTTTGTAATTAACCTTTTTTTAACAAATTAGGATTAGGTTTTTGTTTTAGTTAGTAACTGAATTTTTGGCTTTTTTTTCATTTATTAATAAATTAAGTTAATTAACTTTTTTATTAAAATTAGTTAGAATTAGGTTTTTTAATTAACTTAAAATTATTTTCTACAAAAAAAACACCAAAAACATTATCTTAGAATTTTTGGTTTTAATTTTTCTTTAATTTTTATTTATTTATTCTTTTACGTTTTTATTTCTAGGAAAATTGTATAGGTCGCATTATCAATGTAATAGCGTATATTTATCTTTTCTCGCATTTTTTTCTAATTTTGTAATTGCTCTGAGGTTGTAATAGTCTTTTAAACTAGGGTTTTTTTTACTGTTTAATTTCCCCCCAAGTTTTGGTTATGTAATCCCCATTCTCCGAAGCCTTGTAATAAT